TTAACAATCATGAAAGTAACACTGGGAAGTGGGGATCATGGGGCTCATCTAGAATTAGTTGCTAGATGGGGAGTTCATCTAAGAAAACTAGCACTGTCTTACTGATTTTTGCATCCTAGCTCCTAACATAGTGCTTAGTAGATAATAAATACCCAGGAAATGTCTAAGGGAATGAGATTCTAGGATGAAAGGGTAAACAAAGAATTCAAAACTGATGATCCTAAATGAGGGTCAGGAAACCTTGGCATATAGAGCAAGACAGCTGCTTGTTGAGATTCTTATGGAAAGAATTTGTAAAATTAAAGTCAGATGACAGCAGGAATCCTTGGCAGAAAAAACTTGAAAGCTCTAACGACTGTAAAAATATATATGTTTTAGTTTGGTTAGTTTTTATATTTAACTTGTTATAATTTGTTTGTTCCTCCAGAAAATGAAACACTTAAAATTCAGACAAGTGAAGACACAGATGCAGCTGAAAGAGTGGATCTAGAAGAGCTGATTGAATGTGCGACCGATAAAATGGAGCTTTATGCAAGCCCTGACTTTTCTGAGCAAGTCGAGGGAAATTGTGAAATTGTAAATGAATTAGTTGCTGCTTCTACACAAAAAGGCCAGATGAAGAAGAAAAGATTGAGTGAATTGGGGATCACTCAAGCTGATGACAACTTAATGTCACAGGAGATGTTTGTTACAATTGTGGGGAACCAGTTCAAGTGGAATGGGAAAGGGAGTTTTGGCACATTTCTCTTCTGACCACAATGATGTACATGGATAGCAAAATATTGGATTTTGCACACGTTGCCCTAAGAATCACTGCTGCTATTGTAGTTTGCTTCACATCTGTATTTTATGTTTGATGTACTGGACTGGGCTTGAATGAAATGTTGATTTATTTCTATCTGCAGGTGTTGCACATAAAACACTTCCTCTTTATAAGAAAGGTCATAAAAACATAAATGAGAACATATTTGGNCCTACCATTTTCTCTGACCTGCAAGAAAATGCTGAAGATGGAATTGAAGGTATGCTATATTTAGTAATTTTTTAAAAAAAATATAAAACCATATCTAATTTACTTTATTTCAGCATTAAACTCTGATTAACGATCTGAGTTTTCCTTCTCTCCTTAAAAATGATCGCTGGAACATGCTTGGGAATGGGATAGAGAAGCTTGGTAAAGCCATAACATTACAGAATCTCAGGGTGGAAGAAACTTTCAAGGTCAACTAGTTCAACTGTTATTCACAACCTTCGTTTTGTGGTTTCTGTGGTCTGGAAGTTCTCTTATGCTTGGCTTTCTATAAATGTGTAGAATAAGGAAAGGAGTATGATAGCAGTGGTGGCTCCTGCTGGCATTTGTTAAGGATGGAGACAGTGAACTGAATGGGCCAGGTTGAAGGCTGCATTTACTAGAGGGCATAGTAGAGTTTGCCTCTATTTTTTATTGGTGGAAGTAAATGCACCCTGTCACCTGCCTTTCTTGGCAGCAAAGGTGAGCTAACTCAGTGGAAATTCATGAATTTCAAGCCACGAACACAGGTCATTATTAAATCTCAGTCATAGAGAAGGATTAAGCATTGATGTGGATGAGGAAAGTTTAAAGCAGTTTAAAGAGTAGTCCTTGTCATTCTTCAGGATCCACTTCAGTTATCTCTCTGCAAATTATCTCCTCCCAGGTCTCACAAGGGTGAAATTGAGGTGTCAGTGGGGCAGGACTCTTATCTGAAAGCTCTGTTGGAAGAATCTTCTTCCAAGCTTACTCATGTCATTCAGTGGCAGAATCCATTCATTTAGGTTGTAGGACTGAGGTCTCTGTTTTCTTGCTGGCTGTTGGCCGGGAATCACAGCTCACAGAGGCTACTCTCAGGCCCTGTGGCCTCCTCCACTCAGCAATAATGAAACTCCCTCAAGGCAAATCATTCATGCTTTGAATCTCTGACTTCCTTTTCTGCAACCAGCTGGTGAAAACTGATTAGTAACCTTAACTACATTGCAAAATTACAATGCAAAATTCTTTTGCTATTTAACAATCATGAAAGTAACACTGGGAAGTGGGGATCATGGGGCTCATCTAGAATTAGTTGCTAGATGGGGAGTTCATCTAAGAAAACTAGCACTGTCTTACTGATTTTTGCATCCTAGCTCCTAACATAGTGCTTAGTAGATAATAAATACCCAGGAAATGTCTAAG